TCCAACGAACCATGTAAGCATTACAACCTTACTTACGATGTTACCACGCTAATATTCGCTACGTCTAAAGCTCTCTACGAGATAAATGATCTTATGACCCCACGGACTATAATTTGGATATTTTGCAATTTCAAATTAGGGTTTAAAAATTACTCGTTTATGTGACAATGTAGATCTAACACATACTAATAGTAACGTCGAATGTTAACTAAATTTTCAGCCAAAATAGTTTATAAGCTAAACGTAAAAACCAAAAACGATAATATGCCAGTTTTCAAAATGTGGTTATGAAGTACTTACGGAATCGGTTAAAAACTTATTATAATCGCCCATTGAGCTAGAAAATCAAATTCCAGCGAAGTTAATGCGTGCAAGAGTTTGTTATTTAACAAAGTTTGAAGAATGTTCCAAAGCAGCGTATTAAGTTGTTGAGCACATTAACGATTCCTAATTATTAGCGAAAATATTCTAAGGTAGTTGAAGAATGGCTTTTATTTGGAGAAAACGTTTAGGTAATTAGGAGAAAGGGGCAGCGTGGAGGGCTTCGGTTGCCCCCTGTGGCCTTTCAGACAACGGTTATCCATTTCGTTTCCTCGTGGGCCGGTGTGCGTGAATATTTGATGTTTCTATCGATCATAACTTCTTTTCGGCGCTACGAAGTACCGAAGAAGGGCCCGTACAGCAGAAACCGTTTCAATAATAATTTCTCCCTACTGTTTCGGTCGAAAACAAAATTCTTCTATGACACATGCTTACTAATTGTGATTAGTTATTAATTTCGGGCGTTAGGTTATTTAAGTCCATAATTTGCTAAAAATCTGTGACATCTTCATTCAATTTAGTGATCAAACAGGCATTATGGATTACATTAGTAGAGCTCAATACAGTGCCAGAAATGTTTAATCAAAAAGATCTTACAGCCGAGCTGACCCCAACTGATTACAATTTAATCAATTTTGGCGACAATCTATGTTACAGGGAGTTGTAATACAAAATCGCTTCTCTTAGTTTCTTACAAAAACAATTCGTTTTATATTGCTGTAAAGTGTAACCTATTTAACCTATATTGTTGCTAAATAAAAGAAAATCTAGTTGCATGTTTTTAATAATATACGTTTGTGTATTTTACAGCTAGATTAATTATTTTTAACATGTCGCAAACTGGTACTGAGTACCTACAACTTTTCACTGAAGGTGCTGTGTTATTGAAGTAGAAATTGCCTTATTCTCAAATGTCAACTAAGCTATTTCCAATTACAGATAACAACGAACTCCAATTTTCCTTTCAAATAGATATAAGACAGTTGCATTTAATATGTAAACTATACCCCTTTGAAGCAGTACCCTTTTGGATATTTGCGTGCAAGTCTATAAAGCCAAAGGAATATCTAATGATGCATTTAACGGTGTAATGGGGTTGTCTTCATGACTTATGAAGACGACGTGGTGGTTACGAAGTAAAAATAGTCTAGAATAGTAAGAAAGGTATCGGGCGGACGTTTCGTGAGTGTAATTGGAGAGGTTTCGTGGGCGTGCCGCACGCTAGGGCAGCGCAGTCGGGCGGGAGACATCTTATATGTATTTGCCTCTCTAGTAATTTCCCCGTCGGTCCGTCCTTGTATATTTAAGCGGCGGCGTTGTCCGTGCCGCTCTCATGCATATGTCATGAGCAGTTGCCGCGCGACGGTTTGTTGACGGTCCAACCGCGGGAACCGCGACCACCGGCCCCCAGCCCAGGCCACCGGTCCCACCACCAATAATTATTACGTCCTACTTTCGATTCCGGTGGCTATCGGCGCCACCCCGCCATGGCTCTGTGGTGGCGACGCGACGCCGCCGCACCACCACGACAAAGGGATGAGGCGACAATTAGATTCCCGTTTTCTCCAATATTGCATGTACGGTCAAATTAAATGGTAGGCACCGTAAAAGCTGTCATAAGTCCGGTGTACGCACGCGAGGCAATAAATAACATGGCTCTATTTAATGTTCTGTCGTGGGCAAACAGCGCGAATAGGTTATTGAATAAAATCATTAAATATTTTTATATTGTATTTTATGTACTTTCGCCAGAGTCAAAGTTATCTTCAAAATATTTTTATATACTGAATTATATTTAGAAGTTCAATGGATACATAACGCCGAGCCCCGGTGGATCCATCGCTTTTCCCGAGATAGATTACTTAGGAGATTTCATAGATGTTTGACTTTGTGATGGATTGCCTCAGCCCCTGCTACGTTTTAGGGGCGGGGAGTAAATCAGTCATTAATTAACCACTGCTGTGAGAAGAGTTACTCTGTATAAAAGTATATTTACTGCCAGTTTTTATTACGTTTGCATTGCTGAATTAGTACTGACGCATTTGTATAGTTGCGGCCTCCGTAGATAACGTTATCTTAATAAGTACAATATTAGTTTTCAGTTTTAATTCGTTGTGGAAGTAGATATGTCATCAATGGAATAAAATCTGAGAATATTTCACATTATGCATTTTACACTCTGAGTGACTGACACTGTAGGTATTAATAATTTCAATAAAATAAGGGTTTTGATATAAGTGGGATCAGTCGTTATAGTCTGAATGGCATTAAATAATTTAGGAATCTGAAAACTTGTTTTTGAAGTTTTGTTAATTACACGGTCTGCAGTCCCTTTAGACTAGTTAAGACCAACAGTAATAAATTCAGACAATAAATAGATTTATTTATTTTTTTAATAAGAAGATCAAACAAAATCAGATCTTAATATTTTTTGATTATGTTTAGTATCACATTTTTAAAAAAATTTTCCCTTATCAGATTTTATTATACTACCTTAAACTGTCCAACACCGAGCGGTCACCGGTGACCACAACCTATTGTTCTTTAATTGTGTCTATAATGATGATACTCAAAGAGTTAATAGTCAAGTAAATTCGATGAGGCTACTAGTTCGAGCCCTGATTAAGTTAATACGAGTACAATTAATATAGTACATCAACTCTGAAATAAAATTCTCGGTGATAGTAGCAAGTTGAGAATTGTGACTGGGGCTCTTCTACTATACAAGCAAGTTATATTTTGTTACCCCCCGGTAACAAAATATTAATGTTCATTTGATACACCTAAATATTACATAAATTCTGTGTCACGCCTGTTCATAGCATACAGGATAAATCAAGATCATGATATGTTTATAACATTAGTAGGTTGTTACTGCCAGCAACTTTGTCCACCCTAACATTCATAATCAATGTCTATGAAATTTCATTCAGATTCCTTAGTATAGCATGAAAGAATAACATCCATACAGACTTCCGCTTCTATAATATTAAAAAGATGGGACAAGGTTCATATTGTTTATGCATTTTACAAATTACCATTAACTGCTCAATATCCATTAACTCTATTATAGACTTTATTTCCGATGTTTAGAGACTACTTTTGTATTAAAATTTTAGGGATATGATATATCAACATATTATGTATCTGCCTACAATGATTATTATATCAATTCAACTCGTTGAGTACCGTAATTATAGACACAATTAAAGATATTGTTCTTTAATTGTGTCAATAATTACGGTTGTGGTCACCCGTGACCGCTCGGTGTTCGACAGTTTAATAATTAAAATCTATAAACTAACTTATTGTCATATAGAAATGATAAATATAACAATAAGAATGATTTTTGATAAAGAAGTTAAGGATCTTTACTTAACAATGTAAAAATGTTACTTCGATTGTAACAAAAAAGATTACAGTGTTAAGTCGTAGCTTTTTTTTGTTGATGAATTGTTGTAAATTCTTGATTTTAAGTATCATAGTTTTGCTAAGGATTCAATAGTTATGTTTTCTTTACATAAATAAATATTTAGTTATATAAAATTACTTGTAAGCTGTTAAATCATTACCATAGCCATGCCATGCTGGTATGTTGTAGAATCAACAAATCAAATGACACCTGTAGACTGTAGATTGGTGTTAAATTGCATTCAATTCAAATTGAATGAGCTGGCTAAGCCTTTGTTTGGAACTAAGTGGTAAGACTGGTAAGATTGAATGTTTTTATAGTACAATGTCATTACCTAGATAAAATGAATGCAAAATTTTTATTATAATGTTGTGTTTAAAAATCGCGTCTACATTTACGTAAGTGGGTGTTTGTGTGATAAATGTATGGAGATTGGCAGGCACTACGTTTTCAACATCGTAGTAAACACGAAAGTCACTAGAACGTGTGTAATAATAGATTTAGATTGAAATAATTTTGCGGGTTTCGCCGTTATAATCGAGAACATGACTACTAACCCAATTTACAAAATAAACAATTATTATATTCGTAAATATACACTATTTCAGTAATATTACATTTTCACATTAAACACGAAATTACTAAATGTCTTAGCAAATACCATTTTAATAATAAATTCTACGCCGGTGGCTAAATAAATCGATAACATGACGTGCCTGTCGAGAAATTATCATCGTGTTATAACAATTTTAAAAATTACGTACCTCACGTGGATGAATTGTAACAACTAATATCTTCTGCACAATTACTTGCACATGAAACAATAGTTTTCTAATTGTTTCGTAATGAATAACCAAATAAATGGTGAAACAGGAAAACCACAAAAAAATGGCGGCAATGGTAAAAAAAAGATGTTTGGTAGATTATTCTCTACCTATTACCATACTTTGATTAAATTCTACCATTTTGTAAATCGATATTACGACGTAACAACAGGTTTTTGGTCTTGGGTTTGGTAACAATAAAGTGGCCTCCGTTACATGTATTATTTTAGAAATACCACTAAAACAAACTAATTTGTGTAATGTAAAAAAAATATAAATATAACAGGCCACGTTATTCTATGCTGTAGCCACGCTGTAGCCTATAACACTTAAAAACCCAAAAAAAAAATTTTGGTATAGGCGTGATACGAGAATATCTTCCTATTTGATTATTTACGCTAGTAACTGTCAATATGTACCTCTTGTAAAAAATTAAAACATCAGTCATGTCAAAGTTGTCAAAAATGTGTGATTGGAATAAATGAAATTATTTCGCGACTATTCGCGAAAAATAATTAAATTTGTAATAAAGTGTGTGGCTGTTATTTTTTTATAATCGTTTATATCTGGTTTATGTTAATTTAGACGTTTTATGAGATAGTGCTAGTGAATGTACTAAAAAACTTGATTGTGATTTTTAAACTCGTAAGAAATGAAAAATGAATAACAGCTCCGATTATATTTATTGGTCCGAGCTACATTGCTCAAAGGATGCTCTCACTGATAACTATGGATGGTTTATGCAGTTCCTGTTAGCAGTATTGGCGTTTACTTGTTTAATAGGTAAGGAGTTGTGAAACTGAGGCCGGAGTTCAAGGTGGTAGGGTACAGATACCGCGGTATTGCGTACCTACGTCTGTTACTCAATTAGTTTCTCCGTATTTGCTACGATTACGCAAATATTTCCATAGCTACAGCACATATTGAATTGATATTTGATCAATTTATATTTATAGATAGAGATTACTTATCTCAAGTATTAGTTTATGAACTTAACTAATGACAGATAATTTATTATCTCCTGACTGTACTGTGTTAGCCTATCTATACAGCTTTTATTTAAATACAAGATCTGTGTAGATATTTAAATAATGATTAAATATTTTGTTTTAAGGTAAAAGGTTTTGTGAGCCTCGGTATGCAAGGAGACCATGGCTTATTTGGTTCTATGACACTTCAAAGCAAGGGTTGGGAGCACTGATCATCCATGCAGCCAATGTGTGGCTGTCACCTCACCTCACTGGGAATCCATGCACATGGTATAATTATTTACAGTTTGTTTTTTATTGAATAAGAACCTTATCTTGCAGAAATAAGTACCTATATTATTACCTTAACTATTATTATGTTATGAACATTATCATTTGTTAAACAAACAGTTGTTATTTGCTGCAGTTAATTTTGTTGTAACATGAGTACTTCAAAATCTAATAAAAAAAGTAAACAATAACTTTATATTCTCCTGCAAATTTTATTATTCATCCAGGATGTGTTGAGAAACAACATTTATTTTAAACAAAATACTTTCATGATTCACAAATAGTTGCCTCATTTGCTGTCAATCAATAATGTAACTTAATGAACATCGATAAGTATCATATTCCTGTGTCAGCTTACTGAAGCCTGTGAAATAGTACTAACATTATTTTTACTCTTGTAAGTCTAAACATGCATTGTCTAAGTATATGTAATTGTCTTAACAGGTACATAGTGAACTTTATGCTGGATTCTACATTAGGTCTGCTAATAATATGGGCTGGTATCAGACTAGCTCAGTATTGTGCAAGAACTTATGATATACCACTCATCAATTTTGGTGAATATGGTAAGTTTTACTATCTTAATCAAATAATCCTCTTTACCCTAAATGAAATAAACTGAAATATTTCAGTAATATAGGCTATTAGTTATGAAACCGGAAAAACCTAAGAGCCAGACAATTATTGTCACAAAATATGTAACTAAAATATTAAAGGCAATTGTTAAAGTGTATTGTAGAATACAATGCTCTCTAGGCCATGTAAGCTCATAAGTGAATGGTTAACGGCTTAACTTTTAAAGTCTGTTGACATGAAATGCAATAAAGCAATAATAATGATTATAATATTCATAATAAAATCATATTTTTCCTAACAAACAGTGTCCATATGGTACATGCGAACCGTTTACAAATATGGCAAAGGTCACACAATTTTCAAATCAACTTTCTTGTATGTGAAACAGGTAAGCCGCCCATGTGCTCTGCTTGGATATGCCAATGCATATTGTACGCAGCCCTCGCGACCTTCGCGAAGTCTGTCCTGGCGCTGGTACTCCGACTACCACCAGTGGTCGCCGTCCTCTCCACCTTGCGCCTATCGCCAGTCTCCGACCCTCGATTGGAACTGGCCGTGGTCATGCTCATCATACCCTTCTTTGTTAATGTGAGTATCTCATTTTATAGTTATTTTTTATTATTACAGCAAATGACTATAAACAATGGGTGTTATGTAGCAATGTTCCCGAGTTCATGTTATTGTACTTGCGTTGTTTGTTAGGTATTTAATATTTATAGTTTTTATTATAGTTGTACAACGATATTATTGATATTATAGGTAGTGTGTCATCATCATCACCCAATCAAAGTAACGACGGAACTTCCGAACGAAACCTAGGTAGACTTGTATGTAGCTGTTATAAGAGGCCAAGTTGTACCTACTGGGCACTTAAGTTAGTATTATAAAAATACCTTATAGTTATTCATTACATGCGGTGCCGAAATGCCCTGGTGGCCCGGAGGTTAAGACTTTTTCCGAGTTATATATACTTCCTAAGATTATTTTGACTAACAAACGGTGGAGGGAAACATCGTGAGGAAACCTGGCCTTATTATTTCTAATTATAAGTTTTAAATCGCCATCCCGCAATGAGCAAACGTGGTGATGAATGCTCAAACTTACTCCGTGTGAGAAGAGCAGTGGAGGCTGTTGATGATTATGATTCACTGAGTAAAAACTAGTTACTTTGGTACCTACACACAAATTTTAATCTTACTACACTTACGATATTTACTAACACAGCTGATAAAGATTTGCGTGATTGTTATTACATAGCTCCCTATACATAATTACATAAAGGTACTTCTTAATTAACTCATAGTTGGAACAAACTGCCATACTAAATTGTGTCTAGAGTATAAACTAAATATCTATATAGGTAGGTAGTAGTAGTAGAGTAGGCTGCGCGACATTGGCCCGACCGTGCACGTTCCTTGTGAGAAAGAGCTCCTGTGTGGCTCGAAACTAGTAGAGCTTTTCTTACTATGAATATACTAACGTGAGTAACCCGCGATTTTTAGGTAATTTAGTATGTCCCTCGATAGTTACTATTAGTTACTGTGTTGTGGTCATTGTAAAAGTCCCTAAATGCATTATATGCGTGACTTGCAGTTGACTTTTATTGCACTTGTTCAAACACTTCGACGTTTCTTGATAATGCTATATTTACCAATAAACGTTGAACGAAGACAAATTGTAGATGATTGCAGTTCACCTTCGTAGGTACCTAAGTAATTACTGTTGTTCGTAGCATTTTTATGTATTCTTGATAACAAATAACTAGGTAGGTATTTATACTGCTCTGCATCTTTCAGTTAAACGAGTACCTACGCTGAAACCTTAGTACTTAATTACTACAACTTAAAATCACACATTATAATATATGTCAGTTTCTTTGTTTGGATGTTTGTCCATCAATCACGCAGAATTACTGAACGGGTTTTGGGGCAGGGTATGGGATGACTTAGGTGATAGGATACTTTTTATCCCGATTAAATGCTCCCATGGGATAAAACAGGAATACGTGGACAAAGCTGCGGATAAAAGCTAGTTTAAAAAATTCCTTGAAAACTAAAACCGATCCAAGTAATAATAAATTGTTTCCTACCTAAGTAGTTGGAGAATTCTTAGAATTGCAATTCCTAATTAATATACCATGTGAAAAGTATACCTATGGAAGGAAGCAATTCTAGGTTCTTTTAATTCCGCGTACCGGCCCATCGTGTTGCTCGACGAGGTGGGAAAAGTTTTCGAAAGGATCATTTCGAACCGCCTCGTCGCGCACCTGTCGGATGTTGGGCCGGACCTGTCGGACGGCCAGTTCGGCTTTCGCAGAGGGCGTTCCACGGTGGACGCCATCATGCGTGTAAGAGACCTCACGACGGAGACTGCAGTGTCCAGGGGTAAGGTCGTAGTGGCGGTGTCCTTGGACATCGCCAATGCCTTCAACTCCCTGCCCTGGAGCTGCATTTTGGAGGCACTTCGATATCATCGGGTGCCCACCTATCTCCGTCGTGTAATCGAGGCATACCTGACGGAACGGTCCGTCATTTACCCCGGTCACCGAGGTGAGTGGAACCGGCGAGAGACGTCGTGCGGTGTTCCACAGGGTTCGGTTTTGGGGCCGCTCCTGTGGAACATCGGCTATGACTGGGTGCTGCGCACCGACCTTCCGAACAACGTCAGCGTGATCTGTTACGCTGACGACACACTGGTGTTAGCACACGGGAGGTCGCATCAGGCGGCGGCTAATTTAACGGCGAGAGCGGTTACGACAGTCGTTGAAAGAATCCGGCAACTGGGACTCGAGGTGGCGCTCCACAAATCCGAGGCCATGTGTTTTCATGGCCGCGGGAACGCGCCACCTCCGGGTGAGTCCCAATTAACGGCGGGAGGAGTTACCATCGGCGTCGAGACGACGATGAAGTACCTAGGACTCGTCCTCGACAGTCGGTGGAACTTCGTGGAGCATTTCCGACGTTTGACTCCTAAGTTGGAAAGGACGGGGGCGGCGCTTAAGCACCTCCTACCCAACCTCGAGGGGCCAAACGCCTCCTGCCGGAGGTTATACGCCGGGGTCGTGCGGTCCATGGCCCTCTACGGCGCCCCTGTGTGGGCGCCGAACCTGATGCGGCGGCCCGCTCGGGCGCTGCTCACATCACAGAGGGTCATGGCGATCCGATTGATACGCGGATATCGCACGATCTCCGGGGAGGCGGCGAACCTCCTTGCCGGATTACCGCCGTGGGATCTGTAGGCGAAGGTGCTCGCGCGCGTGTTTTGTTTGCGCGCGGAGGCACGTCGCCGGGGCGAAACTCCGCTGCCGCGCCAGATTAATGCGTGGCGGGATGAGCTCCGGCGTGATCTCATGGCGGAATGGCAGCAACGACTGTCGCAACCGAAGGCTGGGCTCGCTGTCATTGCAGCGGTAAGTCCCCTCTTTGAGGAGTGGCTTGAGAGACGCTACGGCGTCCTCACCTTCCGCCTGACGCAGGTGCTTACCGGACATGGAAGTTTCGGTAGGTTCCTGTTTCGGATTGGGCGGGAGGAAACGCCCGGGTGTCATCACTGCGAGGATCGGCTGGAGGACACGGTGGAGCATACGGTGGCGGTGTGTCCTGCGTGGACTGAGCACCGCCGTGTCCTCAGGAATGTGATCGGCGACGGCGACCTCTCGCGTCCGGCTCTGGTTCAGACCATGGTACGGAGCGAGGGGGACTGGGATGCCGTCTCCTCCTTCTGCGAAGCAGTCATGCTAGCCAAGGAGGAGGCGGAGCGCGTGAGGGAACGAACCTCCTCACGACCCGGCCGTCGCGAGAGACACTCCGGGCGTCGGGGATCGCGAGACGATCTCCGGCCACCGTAAGCACGGGCCTGCGGACGGCGAGCATGGGTGACTCGCCGCCCGACCAGAACCAGGCCCGAGCGTACGGCGCGTCGCGTTCCGCGCGCGCCTCAAGGAGCCATCAGACCACCACAGATGGGGCCTAACAAGGCTGATGCCGAGCCGGAGGAAGACTTAACGGGTTGCCGGGGCTCCGGTTCGAAGTGCAGGTGTAGGAACGGGGTGGTTTTTAGTCAGTAAGAGTCTGACACTCCCTTCCGCCTCAGCCAGGCGGGAGAAGTCATTGGATGATTTTCCCGCCTCAAAAAAAAAAAAAAAAAAAGGTTCTTCAATTCTTATTTGGTTCTTAATTCATTTACATTATTTAATTTTGAAAAAGCCCTTGAAGCTTCTTTGTATCTATGCAGAGGTTCGAAGGAAAAACTGCAATTAACTTCTTGGGTACATAATTAATTAAGACGTTCCATAATCAACTGATCAAACTAGTTATCAAGAATTTTGACATCCTAAAACAACATTCCACTAATCGAAAGGTTATCGCACGACAGATAACTTTTCAGACTCTTCCAGACAAAAATGAGTTCTGTGATGTATAATAAAAAATACATAATATGGTAGTATATATAATTAACAAAGCTAATTTTCTATTGTGGGATATTTAAATAAAAGTAATTTAGATACAAATAGTGAATCTATAGTATGTGAATCATTTCTCTAGCTTAACTAACTCGACCAGAAACAGACCCGAGCGTACGGCGCACGCCTCTAAGAACCATCAGACCACCACAGATAAGTCCCAACAGGGCCGATGCCGATTCGGAGTCGCGGAGAACCTAACGGGTAACCGGGGCTCCGGCTCGACGTGCAGGAGAAGGAACGGGGTGGTTTTTAGTCAGTAAGAGTCTGACACTCCCGCCTCACCCAGGCGGGAGCAGTCATTCGATGATTTTCCCCCCTTAAAAAAAAGCTTAACTAACTATGTATATATAAATACAGTCTAAGCCAAAATTCTCTGCATCATTATGAAATACCAAACGTTGAACACGAACGCGGTGATAACGTAATGGTTAAATACGTAAATGATACAAAAAGTGTTCTTATTTAAATAGGTAATATCGTTATCTGTATAAGGGCAACGACCTCGTATTCGGTACTTATACGGTCATTCCAGATCGAAGTCACTTCTATAATCGTCAAGATGTTCTTTGAAATTCCATTGGAGTTCACATGTACCCAAATATGCTAGAATTTGTATGACCTTTTTACCAAGTACCCCTAAACTGTTCATGATGTAGCACCTAAAGTAACCCCTTACTTGTATAGTTAGGTGTCACTTATAGGTGCTAACTCTCATCTATGTTAGCTTAAGGGTTCCTTTAAATTGGAAAATAATAATAACAAATGAATCTCCAGCGATCTGTGGCTGACTATAAAAATGGATCTTCGAATAACAAAACTAAACTTCCGTATAGAATATTGAACCTCTGAAAAAATTACTAAGTTACCGACAACAGACGTTATAGGTTTGGTTAGGCGGCATTTTCCCCGGCCGAAAAAAAAAAACATGTTAGTATTGTAGCAATAAACAGTCATGTAAAGTAGTCGGAAAGTTAGTATTTTAGGCAGTAGATTTAAAATTTTCAGTAAGGAAAATTCTTCTTTTTTTTGTCGGACCTTTTATTACTACCCCTTTAAATTTAAGGAAAAGGTTGTTGAAAACGGACAAATTATTAAGAATTCCTTGTTGTTTTGCGGTACGCAACTGTGACAACGGATCTAATGATGCCGCAAGGTATGTAGAGAGCGTATTTGAAGTTATTCAATGTTAAATACATTAGACATTAAGCAGAATCTCATTGAAAGTTATCACGCCTTTCACTTGTGACAAAGTCTTTAACATTTTTTTTTACACTTTTATGCATTAGTTATTTTCTATTGCATATTTTTAATTTTAACAACCTGTGTAGCTACTAAAGAGCCATAGGTCTCGAGACGTCGACAAAATAGTCTCCTTTTAATAATATTAAAGCTGTAGGTAATGATACGTTATGTAGGTTAATAAGCTAATTATTCGGTTCCTGTGTCGCGTCTCTTTATTAAGATTCCATTTAAAGTATAATTAATATATAAACTATAATTACATATAATTTATTATCAGCGGAGACGCAATATGTCATATGAGTTCCTACAACTCGACTCATGTATGTTACGGCTAATACCCGAAGTGCGGCTACGCCTAGTTTTAGCCGGTTAGAACTAGGTGTAGCCACTTACTCGACTTGACCTAGTACGAGCCGATTGTTTTCGGGTATCTAGGTCTAGCCTTCATCAGGTCCAGCCATTCTGTGTTGGATAAAACTACAAGTAAACAAGTTGAAACTAGTAACAGGCGCCTGGCTCACGCGAGACGCGTCGCGCTCGCGCGCCCCTTCCGCCCCGCCTCCCGTACACCCGCGTTTGCCCTTTTTTTTAAGGGGGGAAAATCATCGAATGGCTGCTCCCGCCTGGGTGAGGCGGGAGGGAGTGTCAGACTCTTACTGACTAAAAACTACCCCGTTCCTTCTCCTGCACGTTGAGCCGGAGCCCCGGTTACCCGTTAGGTTAGGTTAGGTTACTTTGGAGTTTAGTACGCGTTGTGCCGTTGTACAAAACAGACGTACTTTCTTGTTTTTGCGCACTCATACGTTCGAATTCAGAATGGCCATGAATGAAAACCTACATAAAGACTATGAAGTCAAATTTTTTGGAACAGTTTCAGTGTTTATTAGCCACAAAACATGGTGAAAATGCTGCCAAAATATCCTCGAAATTGATCGAGGTCGCTTGATAATTTTCGAGGACGCTCGATAGTTTTCAAGGACTCTCGACAGTTTTCGAGGACCCTCGATCGTTTTCGAGCACGCTCGATAGTTTTCGAGGACGCTCGATTGTTTTCGAGGACTCTCGATAGTTTTCGAGGACTCTCGATTGTTTTCGAGGACTCTCGATAGTTTTCGAGGACTCTCGATTGTTTTCGAGGACGCTCGATAGTTTTCGAGGACGCTCGATCGTTTTCGAGCACGCTCGATAGTTTTCGAGGACGTTTGATTGTTGTCCAGCACGCTCGATAGTTTTCGAGGACGCTCGATTGTTTTCGAGGACTCTCGATTGTTTTCGAGGACTCTCGTTCGTTTTCGAGGACGCTCGATCGTTTTCGAGGACGCTCGATAGTTTTCGAGCACGCTCGATAGTTTTCGAGGATGCTCGATTGTTTTCGAGCACGCTCGATAGTTTTCGAGCACGCTCGATAGTTTTCGAGGACGCTCGATAGTTTTCGAGGACTCTCGATTGTTTTCGAGCACGCTCGACAGTTTTCGAGTACGCTCGATTGTTTTCGAGCACGCTCGATAGTTTTCGAGGATGCTCGATTGTTTTCGAGGAAGCTCGATAGTTTTCGAGGACGCTCGATCGCATCGATCGAAATATTTAACGTATAATCTTACTCAAATTTATAATGCCTGGGGCATTAAGTCAACCTATATTATACATCGAGTGCATAAAGCATATTAATTAATTAAATAAAAATATATGTGTAATAAGTAGTTACTGTTATTTGTTATACTTATTAAGAAGATCATCATCAAGATTACTAAAAAAATAACATGTATGTTCCTACTTCAGTATCTCTTATTTCAAAATCGCTGCATATCTATCTACACACTACTCTGCTCTATCAATCGGGGGTCAACAAAACGAGGCAGCAAAATAGCAGACTTTTAATCATTACATATTATGATATATTGTTCCAGATATTAATATTTTGGGTGACAGACAACTTCCTCATGTACCATCCACGAGGAGTGAGCTCGAAGATAAAGACTAAGGTGCGTATATTTATTAATAGAGAGTTGCACAAACATTTTATATTATACGTCACAAATAGACTACCATCGGACATACTACGTTGCAGCATGCTCACGTAGTCGGTATATTTATTCAACTGCATAGAGTTATGTACTTATCTGCAGTCGAACTGGGGCACCGGCCCAATGTAAAACTGAATCTCATACAGTTAGCGATGGACGGGTTAAAATGCAACCCATCTAGTGACTACTAGTACTCATTTCGATGTCTTAGGTAATAATATCGTACTGAATGTCTCTACCTTGATGTACCGAAATTGTGTGTTGCCCTATTTTGGACTATTAACTACATTAGTAATGTAATCCAAAATTATACTGTGGAATGATCTATCGTCAGCGGTATTTCCGAACCTATACGACCTTCAAACCTTCGAGAAAAGAGCGTATTCCTTTTTAAAAGGCCGGCAGAGCACCTGTAGCTCCACTGGTGTTGCGGGTGTCTATGAACGGCGCTGATCGCTTACCATCAGGTGACCCGCCTGCTCGTTTGCGTCCTATTCCATTAAAAAAAGTATTTTAAGTCATTTTTATCCTCATTGTAAATGATGTATTTCAATGTTCTTGTTCGTATTATCCTTACAGGTGAGATACCAGTCCATTAAAAAAGAAAAATCAGGGTCCGAAGAAGAGAGAGATTCAGCGGACGAGCGACTTTTGGGAGCCAGTGTATGACCTTACAGGAAGCCCAGTCTATGTCGGGCTTAAAAGTGTAATCTCTTAGAATATCTCTTCATTACTGACTTGTCATACCAATATCAACTGGCAACACAGCGGTCAGTTAGTTTAACGAGAATTTCATCGATTAACGATCGATATTTGACTTTTGAACAAATTATCGTTTATCGATAAAAAATTACTTCCATTTACTCGAATTGTAATCGATATAATTATGTAAAATTGTGTTTGTATATATTTGTAAATTAAAGGTTTAAAAGGTATGGCAAGTTCTGTAGTAGTGTGCAGTCCAAATAGGAGTGACGTTCCGCTATTTGTGATATTTCGTTAGGCGTTAGACCAACTTCGCTAGTGCAGTTCTTGTAAAAAACTATATTTAGTCTTTAAAATACGTCTCTTTCGATAGATTAATAAAATGCTACTTTACAAAAATTTATTCTTGTGAAATGAGATTGGTAGCAAGCGAAGCTAGTCCTATTCATATTTGGACCGCATGCTGGGTAGTTAACGCGGTGTATAAAATATTCTATTAATGTAACATGGCACGTATTAAGTACCTACCTAAGATAAATTTAGAATTTTAAAAATTACGTATAAAATGTACCTACTTCCCTTAACTATATCAAATCACAATTATTTTAGTTTTTATAAATGCTTATTGTATTATATAACAATTATATAAATATTGTAAAAAGACTTTATATCGATATTGTTGCTTTTTTTGAGGGCAAGACTTGGTAGTTGGGACGATGTTGCTATCATAGTATATTTGCTATGCATAGTGTGGCCATAATTTGTATAGATTATTTTTTGTTGTATTGAAATGAGGTATTTGTATACTAATACGAAGGTGGGCATAATTCAACGCGTAAGGAATTGAGCATGTCGCTTTACTAATCAAAGCCGAAATAAAAGTATAAAATGTACATGTACAAATATGCCATTTTGGTTCAAACAAATTTATATTAAATAAAGAATATTTTTATACGTTTTACTTTTGAAAATATGATAATTTAAATGTTCCTACACGGTATAGTACTTAGATCCTCATAGTAGTGCCATGTATTTTGATTTTTTACCTAAATTATGTGTACACTAACATCGAATTAAGACTGAAAAAGTCGTGGAAAAAATCTTATCTTCCTAGAAATTCCATTCAATTCCAATTTTTTAGATTAGCTTTACACTTGTTTTAATATTGCATCTACATCACGTTAAGATAATGGCAAATAGCGTGAGCCAAATAAAACATATATATACGCCAAAGTTGCCAGTCTTAACCTATTAATTTATTGGCAGTATTGGAGAGGCAACTAGAGCGCAAGCATATTATTTAAAACACGGACTATTTTATATATAACCTAATCTTTACATTAAAATTACTCATACAAATGACTAAGTTTCGTCTTAATATCGTCTAATTTATTATGGATGCGAATAAGTTAAATTCCGAAATACTTGACTACGATCTGATTTGGTTCAGCAAAAAGTTATGATATTACTAATTATATAATAATTATTTATGTATGTACCGACTATTTTTATGGAAAAAATCATATAAATGATTGTGATGTAATGTAAATATTGATAATAAGGACAAGTTTTATAAAAACTATGATGTATATATGGATCCGTATAACATAACATATTTGTGCATCTGTTCATTGTTTGTGCGAATATAATTCACCTTACGTGTTCATTGAAGTTTCATTTTTAATTACACTTAAAGGAAAATATACGTAAGTACAGAAACTCATTGTATATTTTGGAGTCCGTTTCTACGCAGTGAAACAATGTTCAGGGGTGGAGCTGTTCTAATTCCACCACTGGTGTTGAAACAATAAGCTCTGGAGGAAAGCTATTGTGGATAATGACGTTGCCGAGTCTGCGATGTGCCCTCGACAGTTGTTCGAGTAGTTGAAACCCATAAGCGGCAATGTTAACGGCGAGCTAAGCCGGTAGGTATGATTATAATATAGTTTTTTGCCACTTTTAAGTTCCAGTGGTTCCATATTTATTAACCAGTTTCAAAAAGAAACGAAAATAGTTCTCAGTTTGACAGTATGTATGTATGTTTGGGCACGACTATCTCGCGATTAGCAGAACCGATTTTGATTTATGTGGTTTTTAGAAAAGTGTTTGTAACACTTAGGAGAGGTTCTTATTGTATTAATTAGCCGACTTTAAAAAAGAAGGGGTTAAAGTCAGTTATTTACGTAGTTTATAAATGAAATATTTTTATGAAATGATAATATTGGCCCTCGTTTAGTTAGTGGCCCTTTTCCGTAGGTTCTGTCTATTTCAAAGATGGGTTACGAATACGTGACGGAATATTCCAGTAAATCACAATATGCTTATATAATTTTATTTAAAAAAGCAGCAGCTGTTCACTATAGGCATGCATAGTGAGGCATATTAATAGGTAAGTACAATTATTCAAGGACGTTATCGATGAAACCTATTTGAAAGTTAAATATTTACCAGTTTGTATCGGACAAAGTTCTTAAACATTTTTTACAGACTCTTTCCTTTACACTGCGCTGATCAAGTCGTGAGTGTTCCCCTATACTTACTAATTTAGTATACTCTTAGTATTAAACTATTGTTCTCTTCGCTATTTCCATTCCCCACCAATCTTTTTGACACGCATCCTTAAAAACAGTAAAAAGTTTATTATTACTTTTTGTTTACAATCTATGATTTTACATCTAAGTAACGCCGTGCCGTTGCCAAGCAGTTGCCATGACTATGTTATTGTGTTCCACATTCAAATGCTATGTTCAAATGTGACATCAATACACTGCGAACTTTATCAAAATGTTTTTACTGGAATAGTTTATTTGATAAAACTCATATTTTGTTAGTTTACCTAACAATTGTTTTGTTCCTTTAGAAACTGACAATGGACGAAAGGGAATTGAGGAAGCTGGTGCAAACGAAAAATGGTTGCCGTGTGCCCATCTTGCGGCCTGTGCCAAACGTACAACAACTGGACAAGCTACCATTTGTTCCTCTACCACCGTACAATAGGATCAAGGTACCTACATTTATTTATAGTCACTATAACTACAATTTATTAATCTTGCTGGAAACGACTGCTATAAGTACTTCATATTTTTTATGCTCCAAAGTGGCAGGCAAACGTAATTATATTTATACACCTACATATTGTTTTATAAACCCAATAGGTAATACCATGCCAGACCCATAAATCGTACCCGTAATTGTCCATATCGAACATTAGATAAAGGAAATAAAAAATTGGTTTTTAAGGGAAAGTTAATTGTACCATAACCCCTCAATGTATATTATAAATGTCGACAAAAAGAGAAAAGTACCAAAATAATATCCGCCTGGTATTTAGTAATACTCGCCTATTGCTTCATGTTTTTTTTTCTTATCGTCGATTTCAGGAAAAGCAAGAAAGCTTTCGTAAAATCCTCGAGGAAAAAGCTACTGAAAGGAAAATAGAGGTAGCCCGACCACCTCTAGAGCGCCGTGAACGCGACCGATTAGAAATATCACAATCACGACACATCGCAGTGTTGCGAGTATGTGCACAAAAGATTCAACCCCCGCCCATGTCCAAAGACTGGGAACGAAAAATTTGTGGCCTCGTACCAGCCAAACTTCGTCACGCGTTCCCCACTTTAATGGATGAATTGATCAATGAAAGTAAGGTTGAATGGAACCGAAATCTCCATGAACTTGCTGTTAAAACAATAATTAGAGATGAACCTGGAGTTCCCAGGATCAGGTATCAAGAACCTTATTTTAAATACAAAGGCATTACAGAAAACTATGAAAAAATGCTCAAATTCCGTAAAAAACTAATCGATGGTGCTCTTATATTACATCCTTTCATAAGACTCGTACTTGAATCTTCAGAGCGAATTTTTCCAGAATATATTATTGATTTAGCCAAGTATAGGGCTATGGGTCCTTTAAAGTTAAAGGATTTTTTAGCAAAAGTTTTAGAAGAAATAAAACGGGCTGACTACCTCGTATCGAGCACTTGGTACGGGATCCTTGTTCATTGGCTTAAAAATCCAAGATGTTTGCGAGGCATGCGTCAAAAGAAAATACCAGATTTTGTGAGATGTGCAACCAAAATGATATCAATGCAAATTCAAGAACTAATGCGTAGATCTATAGAAGCTATTATAGACGGCCTGAAAGATCCAGAATCTGTCCTTATTTTGTATTTACAGTTGGATTTTGACGGAGAATTTATTTATGATCCTTCACTTCAGGAAGTTTACGACGTTTTCCACGATATTGCGAACATAATCTGCCACATGTCTCAAAGACTTATGCCTATCGAGCAGTATCTTAAAATTCCATACAATTTCGATGCCTTGCCAGTTCAATATAACGACTGGCTTCATAGAGACGGCCATGAAAGACTCCAAAAACAATTAGATATAGTATTCGAACCTCTACTTCAGTATTTAGAGCAATTACGTATAGAATACAATATGTTGTACGGTGCTCCAGCGAAAGAAGCTATCTTAAAGTTTATTGAAGCAGAAGAAAAATTTGACATATGTCGGGATAAAATCAAATATTTTCAAGGTATAGATTCTGAAATCACTGCTATTGTGGAAAATGAATATTTTAATAGTGCAGTCGTCTGTCAACTAAGAATGGTAGACGGTTTGAAAGGAAAAGCTTTGGAGTTTGTAAATGATTTAATAGCGGGTATAATCAGCGCTCATATTAAAGAGAACGATAGCATCTGTGCTGCATTTGAAGAAATCAAAGAGAGAGCTCTTAGGGAGCCCAAAAATGCGGTAGAATTAATTGAACAAGGAGTTTATATCTTACACGCAAAAACTGTTCTAGTTGAAGCATTAAAGGAAAGAATTATGTCACAAATTAATATTATATCGAGTCTTCTTGAGATGACTTCACTCACAGAAGAACATGTAGCATCAAATACCAGAACTGTCAATTGGCTTAAAGATATAAAGCCTATTTTTGAAAGAAATGCTGCAGCTTATGAAGCTCATAAAGCAGATATGGAAGAAAATCTACTTGCCAAAATAGCATACCTCAACAAAGAGGTTGTTGAAATGATACCGTATTTAGAACTTTTAGACAATATGGATGATGTTGATCATACTCTTGAGTATCTGGAATACCTAAGAAAGCTAGTTCATCGACTAGACGATTGTGATAAACTTGTATCTTGGATTAACACCGAAGAAGCAACATTCAAATTTCCGATTACTAGTTATCCAGACTTAGAAGAATTAAAAGACTACGTAAAACCTTTTCACAGTCTTATATTCTTGGTTCATAAATGGAAGCGGAGCTATTATACGTGGATGGATGGACCTTTTGAATATATGGATCATGAACAGATTGAAATCGACCACGATTTTTACTACAAGGAATTTATAAAAATCTCGAAAAATTACAGAAATAAAATAAAGCAACAAATTGCTGAAGGAGTAGAAAAGCGTTTCCAGGGATTAGTAGATGATCCAGACCCCAATAATTTCCCGGCTCCAATGAAATTATGTTCCCAGGCTGTTGCGGAATTAAAAGAATGGAGGCCCAATGTACAGATGGCTCACATAATGTGTAATCCCGCGTTAGTTCAGAGACATTGGGATGAAATGTCTACCATTGCTGGTTTTGATTTAACTCCCACGGCAGGTACCACATTACGAAAGATTATTGATTTCGATCTATGGGGTGACATCGATCAATATGAAATTATAAGCATAGCAGCAACAAAAGAACTTGCTTTGATTACAAACTTAAATAAAATGATGGCTGAATGGACCGACATATGTTTTAAAACGAATCCATATAAAGACACTGGAATTAATATACTCACAGCACTTGATGATATTCAATGTGTTTTAGACGATCATATTGTTAAAACTGTTGGAATGAGAGGTTCAGCATTCGTCAAACCTTTTGAAACTCAAGTAAAGTCATGGTATGAAAAAATAGTAAGAACCAACTTAACAATAGACGAGTGGGGTAAAGTGCAAAGTCAGTGGCTGTATTTATTACCCATATTTTCTTCTAAAGATATTGTCGCCCAAATGCCTGAAGAAGGAGTTATGTTTACAGAAGTGAACAATATATACCGCAGATATATGACTTGCGTAGAAAGGGATCCTCATGCGCTTGAGATAGCCGGTGCTTCCGGCGTGTTAGAAGCTTTTAAAGTTTGCACTGGATTACTAGATAAAATTAATGATGGTGTAAACAATTATTTGGAAAAGAAACGTTTGTATTTCCCAAGATTCTTCTTCTTATCGAATGATGAGATGTTAGAAATTTTATCTGAAACAAAAAATCCTCTTAAAGTTCAACCGCATTTGAAGAAATGTTTTGAAGGTATCCACAAACTGGTATTCGACAGTGAGTTCAATATATCCGCTATGATTTCTATGGAAACTGAACAAGTCGAATTTCTAGAAACTATAAGCGTCCAAGCTGCAAGAGGATCTGTAGAAAAGTGGCTGGTACAAGTGGAGGACCAAATGTTAAAAGCTGTCAAGTCAGAAACTGAATTATCTTACTATGACTATCCAAACACAACACGCGTCGGATGGATACTTTCTTGGGAAGGTATGGTAGTTCTAGCGATATCTCAAATTTACTGGGCCGTGGACGTACACGAAGCTCTAAATACACATAAATTAAGTGAATTAGAGGCGTATCATAAGTCACTAACTGTCCAACTAAATGAAACAGTAGCAATAATTCGACGAACCGACTTAACTAAACTAAACAGTATTACAATAAAAGCTCTCATTGTAATTGACGTTCACGCCAAAGATGTTATATTTGACTTAGTTGGCAAAAATGTTACTGAAGTAACAGATTTCCAGTGGCTAGCACAACTTCGTTACTACTGGGAAGAAGAAAAAGTAGGGGTGAAAATAATAAATGCTGTTGTCTCCTATGCATATGAATATTTAGGAAATAGCGATAGATTAGTGATCACACCATTAACTGATCGATGCTACCGAACACTTATTGGAGCCTACTACCTTCATATAAATGGAGCTCCAGAAGGACCTGCAGGAACTGGGAAAACTGAAACAACTAAAGATTTAGCCAAAGCTTTAGCCGTTCAGTGCGTTGTATTCAACTGCTCAGATGGCTTAGATTATAAAGCTATGGGTAAATTTTTTAAAGGTTTGGCAGCCTGTGGCGCGTGGGCATGTTTTGATGAATTCAATAGAATAGACGTTGAGGTTCTTTCTGTAATTGCTCAACAAATATTATGTATTATTCAAGCAATAAGACAAAATTTAGAAGTTTTTGTGTTTGAAGGCACTACCTTGAATTTAAATCCAGCTTGTTATGTTTGCATTACTATGAACCCAGGCTATGCGGGTCGTTCTGAGCTCCCTGATAATTTAAAGGTGCTCTTTAGAACTGTTGCCATGATGGTACCCGATTATGCCATGATCGGAGAAATATCTTTATATTCTTTTGGCTTTGTGGATGCTAGAAGTTTATCTGTAAAAATTGTCACAACGTATAGGTTATGTTCTGAACAACTATCGTCCCAAAATCATTATGATTATGGAATGCGGGCAGTAAAAACCGTGTTGTCGGCTGCAGGAAACTTAAAAAGAGCTTTTCCCAATGAAAATGAAAGCATTTTACTTCTTCGATCTATAACAGACGTAAACTTACCCAAGTTTTTATCTTGCGATGTTCCTCTATTTGAAGGCATTATATCAGATTTATTCCCTGGCATTAAATTACCAAAACCAGATTATGTAAACTTTTTAAACGCGTGTAATGACACTTGTGATAGGAATAATCTACAACCAATGGATTGCTTCCTTCTAAAAGTAATACAAACATATGAAATGATGATAGTGAGGCATGGCTTCATGATAGTAGGTGACCCTTTCTCAGGAAAATCAATGACACTGAAAATTTTATCAGAATCTTTGACATTGATGGAGGAAAGAAATCAACCAGGCGGATGTGAATGTACATATAAGGTCTTAAATCCGAAGGCTGTAACAATGGGACAACTTTACGGTGCATTTGATCCAATATCTTATGAATGGACTGATGGTATAGTAGCCACGATGTTTAGAGATTTTGCTACAGACGATTCTCCTATCAAGAAATGGATTGTGTTTGACGGCCCAGTTGATGCCGTTTGGATTGAGAATATGAACACTGTATTAGATGACAATAAGAAACTCTGTTTAACTTCAGGTGAAGTAATGGCAATGTCTAGTGTTATGTCGATGATTTTTGAAGTAATGGACCTGGCACAGGCTTCTCCTGCTACTGTGTCTAGGTGCGGTATGATTTATATGGAATCGGTATCACTAGGTTTTATGCCGTTTTACAAATCCTGGTTAACTACACTGAATCCTATATGGTATGAAGAAAATGAAGATTATATTTATGCCATGTGCGAATGGTTATTCGAACCATTAATTTATTACGTTAAAAAGGAGTGTACTCAATTGGTGACAGCTGGAGAAGTGAATTTATTAGTAAGCACGCTTCATCTAATCGTAATGTACATGGATAATGCAATTAAAGGTGAAGAAGATACGAGAAATACAAGAACTTGGTTTATTGCTTCGTTTATGAGTGCTATAGTATGGGGTATTGGCGGAATACTCAATACGGACTCTCGTGAAAAATTTGATAATTTAGTGAAAGAATACTTTAGGTGTGAAAAAGGTTTACCATCTACAATTGACCGGATTGATGTATCGATTCCCGCAGATGGCATGATTGTTGATCACTTTTACATGTATAAAGGTAAAGGGTGTTGGAAACCGTGGGTAGAATCTATGAAAAATGTCGTTGTAAAAGAACAAATTAATTTACTTCAAACTGTTATTCCCACTTTAGAAACAGAAAAATACTATGCCCTCTTAGATTTACATACAAAATTTAAGCAGCCTTTGTTATTTATTGGACCTACGGGTACTGGTAAGAGCTTCTTGATACAAAACTTTTTGATGAATCGCATTTCTATGGACCATTACACTCCTGGATTTATAACATTTACGACTACAACTTCAGCTAATCAAACACAAGAACTAGTGCTTTCAAAGTTATACAAGAGACGAAAAAATAACTATGGACCATCAAAAGGCAAACAAGCTATAATATTTATTGACGATATGAACATGCCTGCCAAAGAAGTTTATGGTGCTCAACCAGCAATAGAGTTATTAAGATTGTTTTTCGACCAGAAGCACTGGTATGATTTAAGAACAACTGACAAATTATACATCCACGACACTTTTTTCTATGGAGCCATTGGACCAGTCGGTGGCAGTCGACAACTTATTTATCCAAGAATGTTAAGACATTTTAACATATACTCAATAAATGAGTTTTCAAAAGAAAGTATGACCAAAATATTCATGACTTTATTACAACTGGGTTGGAAAAGAAATGGATTCGGTCAAGATGTTCAGCCATACATAGTCAATATTATAGCAGCTACAATGGAAATTTATAATTGTGCTACAGAAGGACTAAGACCAACACCAGCGAAATCACATTACACATTTAACCTAAGAGACTTTTCAAGGGTCATTCAAGGCTGTGCATTACTAAGAAAAGAATGTGCCGATAATAAAAAAACTTTTGTTAAAGTCTGGGTTCATGAAATTCTACGTGTATTTTATGACAGGCTTGTCGATGATGATGACCGTGGTTGGTTTTTTGAGGTTCTCAAAAAAATTACAAAAGACTTCATGAAAGATACATTTGAGAATGCCTTAGATATATATCAAAATGAGAAGGGAGAAGTTACTTGTGACACAATCAAATCAATGATGTTTGGAAGTTACCTAGATTCAGAAAGTCTCGAAGGAGAACGACGATATGAAGAAATGCCATCAAAAGAAGCTGTGCTAAACGTAGCAATCGCAATGCTGAATGAATACAACGCATTGCATAAAGCAAAAATGACCATTGTACTGTTTGACTACGCTTTGGAACATTTATCAAAAATTTGTAGGCTTTTGTGTATGCCTTCTGGAAATGCTTTACTCGTAGGTGTTGGTGGTTCTGGACGACAATCTCTCACACGTTTAGCGAGTACAATATTAGGTCTACAGGTATTTCAACCAGAGATCACGAAAACTTACAGTGTGAAAGATTGGCACGATGATATTAAACTAGTTTTACGAGAATCTGGTGGTCTAAATAAAGATACCACATTTTTATTTACAGAAAATCAAATAAAAGAAGAAGTGTTTATTCAAAATCTTGACAGTTTACTTAACTCTGGCGAAGTTCCTAATTTATATGGTTTAGATGAAAAACAGGAAATTTTAGAAATGGTGCGGTTAGCTGCACAAGGTGGGAATAGGAATCTTGATATTAGTCCGTTACAAATACTTGCATTCTTTGTCGGACGCTGCAAAGCAAAGTTACATATAGTATTATGCTTCAGCCCCATAGGAAGTTCCTTTCGAACAAGACTAAGATTGTATCCCTCTTTAGTGAATTGTTGTACCATTGATTGGTATGATAGCTGGCCTGAAGACGCCTTAGAAAAGGTAGCTCATTATTATATGGTTAAGGTTAATGTACCAGATAAAGTAAAACTGGCTGCTGTAATAGCTTGCAAACAGTTTCATGTGGATGCGCGATCCATATCTATCGAATTCTATAATACACTTGGAAGGAAAACCTATATTACATCTGCTTCTTATTTGGATTTAATAAAATCTTTTACCTCACTAACTAACAAAAGACAACGGGAATTGAGAGCAGCTAAAATAAGATATACAAATGGTTTAGACAAATTGGGACAAGCAGCAGATGCAGTAGCAATAATGCAACGTGATTTAAATGCTCTGAAGCCACAACTTATGATTATGGCTGCAAAATCAGCTAAGATGATGGAAGAAATAGAAATCGAAACTGTCACTGCCGATAAAGCCGCAGCTCAAGTCAGAGAAGATCAAAAAGTTGCAAATGTTCAAGCAGCAGCTGCACAAGAACTCAAAAAAGATTGTGAAGCCGATTTAGCTCTAGCGTTACCGATTCTAGAAGACGCTATTGCAGCTTTAAATACTTTAAAACCAGCTGACATTACTATTGTCAAATCTATGAAGAATCCTCCAGGTACAGTAAAATTGGTCATGGCTGCAGTGTGTGTAATAAAAGGCGTTCCGCCTGATAAAATTCCTGATCCAGCCAACCCTGGAAAAAAAATATTAGATTATTGGGGTCCAAGTAAACGAATATTAGGAGATATGAGTTTTTTAGAGTCGTTGAAAAATTTTGATAAGGATAATATCCCCATTGCTATTATGCAAAAAATTCGAAAAGAATATCTTAGCCATAAAGATTTTAAGCCCCATATTATTGCCAAAGCTTCGACAGCTGCTGAAGGCTTATGCAAATGGATAATTGCTATGGATATGTACGATGCCGTAGCAAAAGTTGTAGCCCCTAAGAAAGCCAAATTGGAGGCGGCTGAAAGAGAATTTGCACAAACTATGGCCATTTTAGAGGAAAAAAAGGCTCTTGTTGCTAGATTAGAAGCCAGATTAGCCGAGTTACGCGAAGCACTAGAAGAAGCTAATATTAAAAAGAAAGCACTAGAAGATGAAGTACAACTGTGTATCGATAAATTGGCTAGGGCTGAAAAGTTACTTGGCGGTTTGGGAGGTGAAAGGGTACGTTGGACTCAAGCTGCAGAAAATTTACAAACATTATTCGATCACTTAGCTGGAGATATTCTCGTGTCTTGTGCAATTATGGCTTATTTAGCCCCCTACACCTTACCTGTCAGGATAAAAATGATTGATCAATGGCGTGACTTAGTTATAAAGTTAAAAATGCCACATTCTGAAGTTTTCGTATTCAAAGACATCTTAGGCACTGACATCAAAATTCAGAATTGGTGCATTGCTGGACTACCCAGAGATTCATTCTCAGTTGATAATGGCGTCATTCAAGACAACTCTATGCGGTGGTCTTTAATGATTGATCCGCAAGGTCAAGCAAATAAATGGGTCAAAACCATGGAGAAAGCCAATGATTTACAAGTTTTAAAGTTTACAGACGGGAATTACATGAAAGTGATTGAAACTTGTTTAGAGTATGGAAAGCCTGCTCTAATTGAATGTGTACTCGAAGATGTAGAAGCGCCGTTAGATCCAATTCTACTTAAAAATACATACGTTCAAGCTGGTAAGGAATATATCGCCCTTGGGGATAATGTGATTGAGTATCATCCGAATTTTAGACTTTACATGACAACTAAATTAAGAAATCCACATTATTTACCCGAAGTTTTTAATAAAGTGACGTTAATAAATTTTGCACTAACTAAAGATGGATTAGAAGATCAGTTATTAGGTATAGTAGTAGCGAAAGAACGACCGGATTTACAAGAGAAAAGAGAAAAGCTTATAGTTCAAAGTGCAAGTAATCGAGCTGCATTAAAACAAGTAGAAGATGATATCTTGCGAACCCTACAAGAAACGAAAGGTGATATATTAGAAGATGAAACTGCCGTTGAAGTGCTAGACTCGTCAAAATTATTGTCTGTTGATATTATGAAAAAACAAGAAGCTTCTTTAGAGACTGAAGTCATAATAGAGAAATTCCGCCATGGCTATCGACCAATTGCTTCACATTCTGCTGTCCTATACTACTGCGTTACCGAATTACCTAATGTAGATCCTATGTATCAATACTCATTATTATGGTTCATTAATCTTTACATTATTTCAATTGAAAATGCTAATAAATCTAAAGATCTTGACAAAAGATTAAAGTTTTTAAAAGAAACCTTTACTTACAATTTATATAGTAACGTATGTAGATCGTTATTTGACAAAGATAAGCTTATGTTTTCGTATGTTATGTGTTCTAAAATGATGCTTGCTAACGGAGAAATGAACTTGGAAGAACACGTTTTTCTTATAACTGGCGGTATTGCAATAGAAAATCACTTACGTAAACCGTTTGAATGGTTGCCCGATAAAAGTTGGGATGAAATATGCCGAATAAATGATCTACATACATTTTCAGGATTCCGTGACGATTTTATTAGAAATGTAAATCTATGGCAAGAGGTTTATGACGATATGGAACCACACAACAAACGTCTTCCGGGAATATGGGATAGCAGTTTGACTCAATTTCAAAAACTATTGGTTGTAAGAATTTTAAGGCCTGATAAATTGACAGCAGCCATATCGGAGTTTGTCGAAAAGCAAATGGGTCGAAAATACATAACACCACCGCCCTTTGATATAGGTAAATCATTTGGAGATTCTAATTGTTTGGCACCATTAATATTCATATTATCTCCAGGCTCAGACCCCATGGGCGCATTAATAAAATATTGTGAACGAATGGGTTACTCTCATAGATTTAATTCGATATCTTTAGGTCAGGGCCAAGGACCAATTGCACGAGCAATGATTGAAAAAGCTCAACTAGAAGGCGGCTGGGTCTGTTTGCAAAACTGTCATTTAGCAGCATCGTGGCTTCCAACCCTTGAAAAAATTATAGAAGGTTTCGATTTAACAAATACAGATTTAAGTTTTAGATTATGGTTAACAAGCTATCCATCCGATAAGTTTCCACAAGCTGTGTTACAAGTAGCTGTTAAAATGACAAACGAGCCACCAACGGGTCTCCAACATAACTTAAACCGTTCTTACATATCTGAACCTGTAAAAGAAACCGAATTCTACGAAGGGTGCCCTGGTAAAGATAAAGCATTCAGCAAGCTGTTATACGGGATCAGTTTTTTTCATGCTGTTGTACAAGAAAGAAAAAAATTTGGGCCATTAGGATGGAATATTCAATACGGTTTTAATGATTCCGATTTTCAAATATCTGTAATGCAGTTACAAATGTTTTTAAATCAATATGAAGAGATACAGTATGTAGCTATTAAGTATTTGACAGGCGAATGTAATTACGGTGGCAGAGTGACCGATGATTGGGATCGTCGTTTAATAGTTACAGTTTTAGACAACTATGTAAATGCGGGTGTAGTAAATGACCCAAATTACACGTTTTGTGACATTGGCCCGCAATATGGGTTACCACGAAGATGTGAATATCAAGATTATCTAAAACATATTGAAAGCGTTCCTGTAAATCCTCCTCCTGAAGTATTTGGACTGCATATGAATGCAGGAATAACTCGCGACTATACCACGTCTATGGCATTAGCTCAAGCATTGGTTCTCGTAGAAGGCGGCGGCGCTGGTGGAGAAGGTGGCAATACAGAAATCCTCCTAGTTCAAATGTCTGATGAAATTCTATCTAAACTACCTGAAGGGTTCGATGTAGAAACTGCGCAAAAAAAATACCCCGTGGATTACAGTGAATCTATGAATACAGTATTAATTCAAGAGATGGAGCGGTTTAACAAATTATTGTATGAAATCAGAGATTCATTACTAGATTTACAAAAAGCTGTGAAAGGCCTTATTGTAATGTCTTTGTCATTGGATTTGCAATCAAATGCAATGTTACTGGGAAGAATTCCTGACAATTGGCGTAAGGTTTCCTATCCTAGTTTGAAGCCCCTGCCTAGTTACGTAACAGACTTTATTGATCGATTGGCTATGTTGAATGATTGGTATCAAAATGGGAAACCACCAACATTTTGGCTGTCTGGCTTTTTTTTCACTCAAGCTTTTCTTACAGGATCCATTCAAAATTACGCAAGAGCAAAAAAAATTCCTATAGATTTATTAATATTTGATTTTGAAGTACGTCATACAGATTTCGAAGACCAGCCACCCGAATCAGGTGTATATGTGGAGGGACTCTTTATGGATGGTGGACGTTGGGACCGAGATAGTTATGCGATTGCAGAGCAATTCCCAAAATTACTCAATGACAATATGCCAGTCATCTGGCTTTTCCCTAAACTGAAAAAGCAGTTTGAAGAAGGAACGAGATACAAATGTCCATTATATAAGACTTTAGAAAGAAAAGGGGTATTGGCTACAACTGGACACTCATCTAATTTCGTGTTAGCATTTTATTTGCCATCTAATAAACCTTCAGCTCATTGGATCAAAAGAAGTGTGGCATTATTGCTTCAATTGGACTTTTAAAGCTTATGGGAGGTATCCACTGAGGTTTTATTTTAGTGTGTTTTTATTTATATCTATTTAAGTCACATGTAATGTGTTAGTAAATCACCGGGGCGAGTTAATTATCAAAATATCAAACACCATTCTAGGTTCACTTGCTCATTAAGTACTAGCCCGGATTATATGTATTATGTTATTATGTATCATTAAATTTCATGTGGATGCAAATATGCAATACAAAAATAAAAAACAAACAAATAGGTATATGTACACCTATGGAAGATTTTTGAGAAGGCATCTATTTCTAGAAAACCGAGCGACCTTCGATATCGAATTTGTGAGTTACATACAGACCTTACAGAATCGTACTACTAGTTGTTAAATCTGCGGAAACATCATACAAACATCTAGAGCAAAGTCAAAATCATTTACATGTTTCAATTAGACCAGAAAGGCACTTTTGAACGTCAAACAAAAATTAAAGTGAAGCAAAGTGTAGATTCCTATGGAGAAGAACGAGCAAGAAACTCCATAGTCTAATAAGCAAGACCATGTTAAACTGGTTATTTTACAATAAGTCACGTTTTTTTTATTACTTGATGATGGAATAAACTATGTATATGTACATGTATAAAAATGAATCCTTATATTCCTTGGTCACCCCATCACACGTGAACGGCTGGACCGATTTCAATAAAATAATCCAATGACTTGACTGCACGGTTGGCGAAGTGGCTGGAACAATTCTTTGAGTGATCCACAGTTTGTTGTTCAGTCTGGGTGTCATATCTCATGTGTATGTGAACTTGGTATGTTTGTAAACGCACCCTCACAGGAGAAAAACGTAGTGTGGGGCAACGTTTAAAAAAAAGTATATTAGTCACGTATTTTTTTATAAAAATCAAATATACTAAGTGAATATTTAATTCTGTGATAAAAAATACGTGTCTAATATTTTAAACGTTTAGCAGGCGAGTATTAAAATAAAAATTAGTCATCATCCCTATCGTAATCAATGAAATCGACTGTAACTAGAGGTTTGGTCGAATGTGTAGCTTGTATTTATTTAACACTATTTATAATAAAAATAAATATTTGAATTTATGTATTAAAAAGTGTTTTTATTTCGTTTAACGATCACGGTGATGATCAACCGTGATATATTCGCGGATGTCGACATCCTCGGTTATTCTATGGTAATTGTCTAGCATGAGACCGAATATGACTAGCGATGCAAAACTTTCTTCTTCCTAAAGTGTGACCCACACCTTGCCACCAGTGTACGTATCAACGTACGTAATGCCGGAAATATATTGACCACAACCTATGTGTCGTGGCGCGGTAGAAGCCAATCGGTTTAATACTAAGTACATTTACTATAGTTATTACCTAAAGCCACACTTGTACCCACAGAACATATAAAGAAGCTTGTACTTATGTATGCCGCGTGGATCGCCAAAATGCTTACAGCTCTACTTGGTTACGCCACTCCACAACTGTCAGTACCTCTACCAGTGCTGGATTTATAAATATGCTGTATAGGCCGCGGGCTAGGGGCGTCAGATTTCAGAAGACGGTCACTCGATTTAAAATGATAAAAGTCAAACGCGTTTACTAGTTTTTTAATGGTTTTTTATGCTTTAAATAAATCCCTATAGAAACTCATTCTTATCTAAACCTAGTAAGTAATAGATGAGCAGTGCGGCTCTCATCGATTTCTAGCCGCAGAAGGCCTAATGGGTTGCCGGGGCTCCGGCTCGAAGGGCAGGAGCAGGAACGGGGTGGTTTTAGTCAGTAAGAGTCTGAGACTCCGTCTCGCCTGACCCAAGGCTGGAGAAGTCATTAAATGATTCCTCAAGTACGTGTATATGTATATGGTCTACACAGTACACTCATAAACAGTATAAATCCGGCACTGATCTCTACCTTGTAGGTAGCTTGTAAGTTGAAATTAGGAAGGATTTTTTAAGATGCAGTCGCGCATCCAGGTTCACCATTTATAAACAAGTTCAATATTATTAACACTTTATTATACTACTGAAAAAGGAAATAGAACAAAAAGTTTATATTATATTAGTGTTCATAGATAGTTTAGTTATTATCCTTGTTATTGATCATTTGGGCCACATTGTTCCTCTTCATTACTTCACGTCTTGTATTTTCAACCTCGAGCAATTTTTTTCTCAATTTTAACATGATAGCGTTATTTCGTTTCTGAAATAAAATGTTTGGCCTTTTTATTTATTTAGTCTTTAATGTACACAATTTTAATATAGCACATAAGGCGGACTTAATGCCATATGGTATTCTCTACCAGTCAACCTTAGGGTTTAAGTAGAAAATCTGCAAAAATAAGGTACGGAGAATAAACTAACAGCAAAGAGAGAGAGAGAGGAAAAAAAAGGTAATTATTAAATAATATAATCGTACTACTATAAGTTTCGTTTTTACTAGGTACATAATTAGGTCTTTAGACGTTGTTCTAACCTTCTTATTATTTATTTATTATTTATTTATTTATAATCACAACAGTGTACACATTGAGTTTATAACCTTTTCCCACAAAACCGGTTTAGCGGTTTGACTGTGGGTGGTGAGCCGCATTGCTTTACAATAGACAATAGACTTCAATTTATATTCTTGCCTCGGTGGTTCAAGCACCAAAGACCTAATCTTTAGAAAGATGATGATCAGATAGATAATAAAGTCTACGACCGATAGTGGCTTAGGACTATTTAAATAAGTTAAAAGTGTAAGTCTAAATAAGTGTGTAAAACCTAACCGAGTGCATTCACATAATCTAATGTAACGTTACGGATTCGAGGCTCGAACATTGGTTAAATCAGAGGAGAATCGACGTGATATTTAGCTATTGCAGTTAGGCATTGCAAGTAGTACTTAATGTACCTAATGATCAAAATTATTACACGTAAATCCAATTCACCTCTACGGTTGTACCCACTTTTAACACTGCGCATTCTTTTTCGATAGCTTCGCATTCTTCTTCGATTGCTGCAACTTCTCTATCCTGCCGTTCATTTTCTTCTGCTAACTTCTTCTCTTGTTCTCTCAGTTCTTCTAGATGTTTTGCTTCTTTCTCTTTTTGTTCTTTGATACGCATCTCTAATTCCTTTTGGTCTAAAAAATCAGAAAAAAGGTGTATTATTTTACTGTACACTATTATAGTTTTTTTTTACGCTTCATTGTAGAGTAGATGCCAATGTTAAGTAGTTCACTTCTAATCTTATTCGAAAGTCAAATTAATATCAATATTACAATTATTGAAAAAGTAACTTCAAAGCGTTAAGATTTGTTATAAGAACTTCATTTTAAAATGTTTACTTCCGGAGCTGTGAAGCATAAGTGGGAACGGGGTGGTTTTTAGTCAGTAAGTTACACTGTCATGTCACACCCAAAGTGAGAGTCGTTGGATAATTTTCCCCTGAAAAAAAGGGTAAAAGTTATATCAGGCGCTAGCAACACTAATACTACGTGCAGTAACTGGAACAGGAATCAATAATTTATTTTTTAGTTGGATAAACTAGTCTTGGACGTTTCGAGGGATTGCATAGGTAATGCTCCTATGTACCTAAAGTAAATTGATAGTTTAAATACTAAAAACAAGCTTTCCTTCATTAATGGCATCGTCTTAGGAGAAATGGACATATCTAATGAGCTCAAACGATACGTTTGCTGGTAGCGATTCTATTGCTGTACAAAAAGTGAAAAAATCGTATGGGGTAGTTTAAACGTTTTTCTATTTTCCAGCAAAAGTACAGTTAAGTCTTCGCTTCGAAGTTTATTTTGAAACTAAGATGTGTAATAGACCAACATTAATCTGATATTTGAACATACTAAAATGTATGTTAAATTGAAAGTTTTTATTTAACTTGATGTAAGGTAGGTGATATAAGTCCACAACGTAAAAGTAAAAAGTCGCCTTTGTGCACCTGGGTGAATTAAATTGACAAGTGAACAAAGGAGACTACTTGAGTCAACTCAATTCACCTAGGTGATATCACCTGGGTGAAATAATTCCCAGGTGAATTGAGGACTCCAAAAAGTCTATTTTGTTCACCTAGGTGAAATCACCCAGGTGAACAAAGTGGAATAAACCGTTGAGTTCGGTATGTATTCTAACTAGATCTAGAGTCTAAAATATAGATAAAAGTGTCTCAGTAGCCCTAGGCAATTATTAAAACTACACGATGTCCTATAACTTTTAAGTGCGGTACTAATTGTTTATTCAATCGTCCACATTTATGTTCAAATATCATGTTCAGTTGGTCGTAGTACAAAAACGATGCACTAGATTTTACTAGAATAACAAAGTTGTTATTGATTTTCAATAATATTGCCATATGCTACTAATTTTCCTGAAAGTCGGCAATAAACATAGGACAAAGAATGGCAATAAATATTAGGACAAATTCACTTAACGCAATTATTAGGTGCCTACATAATGAACTAGCATGATATCGAGGGCCGATTTTTCAATGCTCAGTTAAATTTTAACTTAGGTATAACTTTGAATATTTGACAATTCTTCCATACTAAAAACTGTTAAGTGTCCATTTTATTCAACAGTTAAGAGTTAACTGACGGTTGTCAGTTTTACCTGTATGTAACCGGTGCCGGTAACGCACTTGTAACACCTCTGGTGTGCCAGGTCTCCATGGGCCATGGGCGACGCCGTCACGCCGATTGCTTACCATCAGGTAATCCGTCTGCTCGTTTACCAGCTTAGGCCATAAAAAAATGTGTGATGTTTGTGCGCGATTATCTCGCTGAACCCATTTTGATGCAATATTCAGAAGAGTGTTTGTTACATTTAGGACGTTTTAGTAGGTATATTAATTAACCGAGTTCAAAGAAAGAGGGGGTCGAAGTCGGATTTTTTACGTAGTTTATAAAATAATTATTATATTTATTTGATGGGTCGACGAATATGGGTAGGGGTTAGTTGAACTTGTGTGGCCGTGTCTTAAACACATATTTTTAACAACCGATCTATATATAATAAATTAATTATAAATATAATTATAGTATGTACATTAAACGCATCTTCACTGACCTCTATCAAATAGCTGTTGGAAACCTCTCATGTGTTCATTGAGAACATCAATATGTGCTCCAATTTTCAAATCTTCAGACACCTTACACATTTCGATCATCGTAATCTGATGCTTACTTTGAGCTATTTGATTCTTCAAATGCTAAATAAATTAAATACAGCGATTATATTTGATTTTAACCAGTTAAGCTATTTTGTAATTTTCAATTTGCAAGATCGTAGTGAACTCTATAGCCATCCGCCATGTCATTGGTTATGAGATTCCAAGGATCTCGACCAATGACATGTTAAAGTTCGAATTGACAGTTACAGAATAGCATAACAGGTTTTTATGTAAGTTCTAGGACCTACTAGTTTTAGGGGAGTTCATCATTAGCATCAATCAGCCTTTAAATTGTCCCACTGCTTTAACAAGCCCCGACAAGACCTCTTCTCAAATGGGAAGGAATACGCATAAACTTCGTAGGTACATATTACTTAAAAGTCATATTGGTACTTGTTAGGTTTTGAACACGCACACTCTCGTGTTTAGGGAACGATATATGTATACCTACTTGGTTCTTTTGGTGTTTTAATTACGGTTAATTTTTAATTACTAAAACTTACCTCAAGACTCTCTGTGAGCTGGTCTACTTCAGCTCTCGTGGCATGGAGCTCGTCTGTTAGGGATCGTTCTTTATTACGCAGTTGTAAGACCTCCCTCTCTTTAGACAATTTCTGTTTGTTAACTGTAATAAAAAATAACACAGTAAATAGTAAATCGCTTAGGCGACACTGACCATGTAAGTCTTAAAGTGGTAAGAAAAGAGAAGAATATAGTTTCAAATAGAGTTACTCTAACTGCAGCAGCGTCGGACTGGCCATACAGTCGAGGTGGCATTTGCCAGCCGGGCCCCAGCCTGCACGGGCCCCCCCACAGGCCTGGGTTGAGAGGCATGCGGCAACCTCAGCACCGGGGGGGGGGGGAGGGTCCGCGAAGTGTGCCCCCTGTGCTACAGTTGCCCGCGTGCATGTCTCGTAAACTATGTGTCTTACAAAAAATTTGAAAGACAAAACAATTTGCTACAAATTATGACTTGACGAATTTTTTGTAAGATGCATAGTTTACGAGATATCGCGAAAAAAGTGTTTTCACCCCTTTTTTCAAGATGGCGGCCGGGGGACCTGGGTGGCGACCCACAAACTTGAGATTAAGCTTCTATTGACCCCCCACACATGTCCCAAAAATAAAATTGCATCCTGTAATAAATGCAATAATCTGTCCTTAAATTGTAGGTAACATTTCAATGGGCTAAAATTGCCGGAAAATTATGGGAGTTTTATTTCGCTTTCTTTTATGTAAATATTACCTCTATAGTGGTTATTATTATTATCAATAATAATAGTGTTTATTCCGCCGTTTATAAAATAAACTAAAGCAAGAAACCCTACAGGAATCGGTCATGGTTTCGAAGGACTGAGACATTTTTGCTGTTGTAAGGTCGCGGCAAAAACGCGTAAAATTGTTTGGGCTCTTGGAGTCTACCAGTGTATTTATTCATGAATCATTTAAGCGCACGTCTCTATGGGTGGAGAAAATTTCAGAATTAACAGCTGGACAAGACAAATTGAGACGATTACAGAATATCGGAAAAACAAGATGGTGGGCTAAAGACAAAGCCTTGACCACTGTTATGAAGAAAACTCGATATGTGGCGTTGATAAAAACTTTAAGTGCCATATATTCAAGCACGGAGTTCGAGCCAAAGGTTTCGTTCCAAGCAAAGCTTTGATGGATTCTTTTTTGAAATTCGAAACTATCCTGACAGCCTTCACGTTCAAGAAAATATTTGACCTATCAACACCAGTAAGCCAATATCTCCAAACCCCTACATTGGATTATCTTAAAGCTTGGGGATTCATCAAATGTTTAGACATGGATTTACGAAGACATTTAGATACTTTGATGATGTTTTCAAAGCTGCAAGTTTATTTGCATTCGATGTTCAAGACTTGATGCACGCTGAAAACATTGATCTCGACGTACAAACCACGTTACCGTTACGAAGAATTTCTAAAAAACCGAAGAAACATGAGCAGTTATGTGAAGATGAAGTAGCATTATTGGCTACAGACCCAAAGAGATTTTATTCTATTTCTGTCTACAAAGTCATTACTAATACAGCTTTAGTTAAAACTAGCTTCTGCCAGCAGCTTCGCCCGCGGTCCCAGGGGTAAAATGCCTATGTATCACTTCAGACCATAATCTACATCTGTTCCGAATTTTATTCCGGTCCCTTCACTCGTTTTAATATGACTGAGTAACAAACATACACATAAACTCACATATTTTCATTTATAATATCGAGTCAAGCTAATTTCAACCATTGGCCTTTCAGTTACAGCGTAAAGTCGATGAATGAGTATTGTAAACGTTAGAGTAGACAAATACAATCAGAAATCACCGACTTGCTAAGCTATCTGGAGTTTCACGTGTTATTGTGAGTCAACCATAAAAGATAGACATATGCTGTCAAGGAATATTTTTTATATAATTTTAAGGAGAATATTTCCGTCATACATGATTTCTATGCAGCTTTAACCTATAAGCCTGCACACGCGACGGAAGTTTAAAAAATGGAGTAACTTCTCCCGTTTTCCCAATATTTCCCTTCACTGCTCTGCTCCTATTGATCGTAGCGTAATGAAAAGTATACTATAACCTGCCCAAGAGTATGAAGAATAATTGTGCCAAATTTCGTTAAAATCCATCGAGTAGTTTTTGTTTCCATAACGAACATACAGACAGACAGACAGACAGACAAAAATTTTACTGATTGCATTTTTGGCATCAGTAGCGATCCCTAATCACCCCTTGATAGTTATTTTTTAAATATATTTTATGTACAGAATTTACCTCTCTACAGATTTATTATAAGTATAGATAAACGAAAAATTCATGTGCAACGAAGATTTAATGAAAGATGCCGCTTGTTTGGACCCGAAAAACTTCAAAAAAATCAAAGAAAATGGAATTCTTAATGACGCGCTAAAGTCTATCGCATCAATTGCAAATGTCGATCGAGAGTTGCTGTCAAAAGAACTGGAATATTTTGCAAATAAGTTTAGTGAACTGTCTAAAACTCTTTGGGATGAGCACATTTCTCCTAGGCAGCATAAGCAAGATTCAGATTCACAAAGCGACGAAGAAAACGACGAAGATGTTTTAGACTTAGACCAGGCAGCAAAGGACGCCATGTGTTTTTCCAGATGTGGTTTGGACGTCTGTGAAAGTTGCATACCATGTGCATGTAAACTTTTATCACAGTATAATATGCATATCAGCACGTACACCACCTTATATGTTGCATATTGTGTAATTCTCACAATTTCATTCACGCAAGTGACTTGTGAGAGACGATTTTCAGCATTGAAGCGCATTAAAACGAGACTTCGTTCTTTACTGGGGCAAAAACTGTTGGATTCGTTGATTATATTAAATACAGAATCGGATCTAATCAAGGATGACGAAAACAACAGCTTTTACGATCGAGTCATTAACTGCTTAGCTGAAAGTTCTCCTCTTTTAGAAAAAATGTTGATTGGCTAGCTTTATATCATTTGTTCTAAGTAAATACCTACTTACTATTGTATTGTATTTTAGTATAGTAATAAATTTTATATAGTTTGTTTATCTCAATTTGTGTATCTCAGTATTTTTCGATAGTATCCCATCACCATGGTCTAGTCTCGGGCCCCGCGATTGTGATCACCCACCCGGGCCCTTCCGGCCCAGTCCGACCCTGAACTGCAGTAATAATTTACGCACCAGATTTAAGTCGTAATTTTAATGAATCGATTGATTCGGTTTCACTGATCATTTTTATTATTTGCGCAGTAGGTAAAACTTAAACCGCCAATTTGTAATTGCCGCCAAACTTTGGCAGACAAATTCACTCACATTACAAAAAAAAAGATATAGATAATATATAGATAAACTATGTATTTTACTGATTATAGTGCGAGGATAATTTTGGATATTTCTTACCCCACTAAATTAATTTTGAAATGGTGTGAAACACATGATTTATTTCTTTTGTTTAAATATTATAATGAAAATATTTTTTTTATTCCTCTTTGGCATTCAAACTACAGTTGAACGTGCAGAATTATGGTTTTTCAAGATTTTTTATCTATGAGCAGTGATGCCAACCTAGGAGCTTTTCCAAATTGAGGGGAAAAGATTGAAGGGATTTTTAAGATGTTTTCAAGTTTTTTTCTAGAAATGTCTCATAGTTTCTATTTATATATAAAAAAAAATTTAGTTTTATATTTTCGAATATTATTTCTCATTATTAGTTTTATTAAATATTTTATTTGTGTGTTATTAGACATAGAGCAACACGGGCCACCGGCGGACCGGAGGGGAGTAGCCATACACAGGCGTTCCTCTCTATCAAAGTATAAGTACAAATGGTCCTATGCGTACAATAAAACTAGTTGCAACTCAACTGCTCACCAGACTAAATCTAGTTGCGTTAGTGAATCGACGGCGTCGTAAAAATGCCGAATTGTTCTGTTTTTTGCACTGCAAAAATAAAACTGCCACGCCAAATTTACAAAAACATGGTGTTACCTTTCATATTAAGTAATTTTTAATCACATTTACTTCTTATAAACTTAAAAAAACTACAATATTATCAATCGTCTTGTTTCGGATTTGTTTACCAACAAATCCGTGCGTTCTCATACAAAACGCGGATCGGTCGAGCGACAGATCCGAGTTTTTTTCCTAGAATTCGCTGTCGCCGAGCGATAGCGTTGTTGCCGGTTTGTTTGTAGATAGTTATCGATAAAAATGTAAAAGGTGAAGTCAAATGTGAGATTTTTTGGGATTAAGTTTTCTGATTTAAATAAAAAATACTGAGTGAGTACTTCAACTATATTTATTATTATTATTATTTTATTTATTTAAGAGATATATGTAAGACATTTTGTCATAACAGACCAACCTGGATTCCCACAAGAAATATTGCCCTTTGCTCAAATCAAGATGAATTAGCAAGATTAATAATGCAAAAATATACTGATACAATAATTTCTAACTTATTGAAAAAACAAACCCCCAAAAATGTATTCGTCATATTTATAGAAAATTAATCTATTTTAAAAACCAGTGATAGTTCCGTATCAGTATTTCATCACTGGATTTTAAATGCGATTAGTAATTTAATGTATTAAAAAATGAAATTTTATTTGTTATAATTATCTTGTCTGATTATTGTAGTAGTAGGTAGTTAGGGGTATAATAATTAATTAGGTATAAAAAAAGGGTATAATATTTAAAGTCAATGATAATATCTGTCTTTGAATAAATTTTTAAATCTAATTTCCTTAACGGAGTTCTTGAATTTATCGATAATGCGTATCGATAATTGTACGTGTAGTTTCGTCATATTATTACACTATTACGACAGGGATTGTTTAAATGTGTGTGTGAAATTGTCAGTGTATTTTTCAATTGTCATAGTGTGAGTTTCGTAGTGACATAGAAAAAAATGACAGACAGTTTTGTATCGGTTTAAAACGCAATGGCTACTCCCCTCCGTGTTGCTCTATGGTTATTAGAGGTTTTTGAACTAAGTTGTGAGAATTGTTTTTTTAACAGTTGGTAACACTCTGTCTTTATAGTCTGTGGTATGATAGAATTATAGAAAGCCAATTGGCTCTCTGACTGAAACTCGAAAAGTAATCTGTGGCGACAACGACAAGCGTGAAGCGTGTGGTATTTTGTCTTGTAAAAATATTTTACGATAGTTTTTGCGTGTTATTGTTGAAAATGTAGTGTTCAAGTTAATTACGAATGTGTTTAAAACTCCTATTTAACTTTTAAGTATTCATAATTCGTAGTTTTAATGTGCAAATCATCGAAAATGGTTTCGGGCAGCACGAGGGTGATTCAAGTCACCAACATAGCTCCCCAGGCTACCAAAGATCAAATGCAAACGCTTTTTGGATATCTGGGGAAGATCGACGACATTAGGTTATATCCAACTATTAGAGATGTATCGTGTCCGGTGCAGTCTCGAATATGTTACGTAAAATATTACGATTCGGCTACTGTGAACGTTGCGCAGCATATGACCAACACTGTGTTCATTGATCGTGCTCTTATCGTAATTCCCATGCAGTCGGGAGAGATTCCTGACGAGCACAAGGCTTTGGAGATGTCTAGCAATGGAACTTTAGTGCCGGGACTGAGTACTGTGGAGCCACGTTTGCCGGCGCATGTTATCAACGCTTTAGACGGTGTTCCTCCGAATCAGGTGATCCAGACTCATGATCCGAAGATGATATCGTTAGGTCTGCCGCCATACCCGCCGCTACCGGCGACTTACGATTCGAGGAAAATTGAAGAAATCAGAAGAACAGTTCTAGTTGGAGATGTGGAGGCATTGACCTCTCAGCAGTTAATTGATCATTTCTGCCAAGCTGGTGAAGTGAAGTACATGAGGTTTTGTGACCGTGAAGTGGATAAGCAGAGGTATGCTTTGATTGAGATGACAGAACAGGAATCTATTATCAAAGCGCTGCAGTTGAACGGCAGCGCTGTTGAAGGACAAATTATCAAGGTATGACAAATTATTTCTTACCTAATCTAGGACAATATTCTTTGTATTCCATTATTACTGTAAGAAACCTTATATTTTCAAGTAACTTTGAGGTCTAGTTGAAAGACACCAAATCTGATCTATCTCATATTTTATTAATCAACAACTGATGGTATATATGTCTTCCATGTTTTCATGATATAAAAATGCCATGCCTATTATAATCTAAATACTTTTATATTGATGAGTTTGTAGAATTCCTAATTCATTAGTGATAGTTATTCCACAAATGACTTCATACTCTTTATTAGCAATATAAATCGTTTATCTTGTAATAAAAAGCCAAATAATTAATTAATTGATAGTTGAGAAATGAGCCCTGATGAGCATGTACAATTTTGATATCAAAAACCATTCAAGTAAGGAAAGGCTTAATGCTATAATTGCCAATAACTCTAAAATTCATTTCTATGAAGACTAAGTATTACAATTATTTGTATTTCATCTTAATTTGGTTACGAAACATACACTGTCAACAGTACTTTGCATTCAGATTTACAAGATTATTTCAAATTATGCCTTCCCTCAGACATGGTCAAAACAAAAAATAAATATATTCTTGTAATCCTGTTTGCTATAATCTCTAAAAGTACTGAACAAATCATATTATTATGTACATTTTATTCTATTGTATAGAACGAAAAAAAACCCATTATAAATTAGTAAATCATTTATTTAATGAGTATTTATTCTAAACATTATTTACAAATGTTACAGGTATACCATGCAACTCAAGCTATTTGCAAACCACAAACGAAGAGTAATGAAGCAGCTCAACGGGAAATCGAGGAAGCTATGTGCAGGGTGAAGGAAGCCCAGAACTTGATCTCAGCTGCCATTGACCCTGTCATAGGTCTCTTGTCTAAAGATAAACGGAGGTAAGATACTTAAAAGAAATACATATATGTTGTTGATTAAAGTTCCCACCTTAAAAAGTGTAGTCCAAGTGTGATTTTTCAGTACAAAATTAATTCTGAGTTAGGTCAAGTATCAGATGTAAAGATAATAGTATAATTCACTTACAATCTCCATCAGCATCTGATATAGCACTAGTAACATCTACAAGTTCACATATTGTAATAAATAGCAAACAGTTCAAATGCAATTTAAAAATATGGTGCAAGGCTTTTTTGGATTTCATAAACCTACTTTTATTAATTCCAAGAAAGATATATATATAGATAGAGTAAATGTATTGTTTATTATTGCGTAACATTAGGAAACATTATTGCAATTGCATCTGGAACAATTAACAATCTATCATCAAAGTATGTTTTATAAATAAAATATAAACCATCTCCTTCCAATTAATCTTAATCCTCAAACATAACTCACTTGGTATCATAACTTAGTGAGAGGCAATAAATTGTTACTTTATACTTGTTATCGGGCGATATAAAGCAAAAATAAATAAAATTATATTAGTCTGCAACTGTGCCACTTTTGGGTCAAGGCTGTCATATTGAGAAGCATAGTGAACATGCTGCTCAAGATAAAAGTGGACTGGCGATTTCACACCAATATTTTAAATCCTATTCTGTTCTAGTCTAATCCTAGGTTTACTACGAAGTTTTACATCACACTTAAAACAAAATATTGTTGTTAAACTATATGGCTAATTTTCAATTATCTTGTTTCCAGGACGAGGTCTAGATCCCGTTCACGAAGGCGGTCTCGGTCCCGCTCTCGTCGGTCGCGCTCACGTCACCGCTCGAAGCGGTCCCGCTCACGCTCCCGCCATCGCTCGCGTCGCTCCAGGTCACGTCACAAGCACCGGTCTAGGTCAGTTTTGCCCGATTCAATAGTACAACCTATTGAAACGGCTGAAACTATCTGGGTGGTGGGATTGGATGTGTGTTGTGTGTAGCCATGGGATGAATATCACTGCCTTGTCAGCCACTGACACAGTATTTTACCATAAATAACCATTCTTACTGAAACTAACATTTATGTGGGTTTATTAATATTTCAAAACTAATCAGTCATATACTAACCTATTTGGGTGGCTGGTAGATTCTTCCCAAATGTAAAGCATGCAGTAGATTTTTGCACGGAAATCCATTGAAATGATAGAATGATAGAAAGCGCCGATGTTATTAAGTTAGCCGATTTGTCTAATTAGATGTATGTGTGCATGAAGCATTCAAATAAAATCGTTTGTTTGATCAACTTATTATAGTGATCATAGTGTGTTAATAATATGTTATTTCTTTTTTCAGATCTCGCTCACGTCATCGCAGTTCTCGGAGGTCACGGTCGCGGTCGCGGCACCGCAGCTCACGTTCAAAACGCGATCGTTCGCGAGACAAAGACAAGGATAAGGATAAGGACAAGGACAAGGATCGCAAAGACAAGAAGGACTCCACTGAAAAGGACAAGAAGGACAAATCTAAGTCGCCTCCCAAAGAAGTGGAAAAAGAAGTAAAAGAAGAAGTTAAACCAGAACCAGTCCCTGAAACTAATGGTAATGGCAATTCTTCTGAAACAAAATCCAAAGCGTCAACACCAGCAGACGATAAACCAGAAAAAGACATTGAAAAAGAGAAAGACAGGTCTCCATCAAAGAAAAGAGAAAGAACAAGATCTCGAGAAAGAAAACGCGACCGTTCCAGGTCTCGTCGTAGGTCCCGTTCACGATCTCGTAGGAAACGCTCACGATCCCGCAGGAGGTCGCGTTCTAGGGATAGAAAGAGATCTCGTTCCAGAGACCGAAAAAGATCAAGGTCACGAGATCGCAAAAGATCTCGGTCCAGGGATCGCAAAAGGACTAGATCTCGGGACAGGAAACGGTCTAGGTCAAGAGATAAGAAGCGATCTCGTTCACGAGACCGCAAACGTTCCAGATCGGGCAGTCGTCGCTCCAAGAGCCGTTCCCATAGGGACTCCAAAACGCCTCACGACCGGAAGTCAAGAGACCACACTCCTAATCTTTCCGTTATAGAAGAAAAGGATTTATCTACTATAGAAAGTAAGACTCCTGAAGTATGCGACGAAAAGAATTCTCCGGACAATATGGATATTTCCAATTCTCCATAGTTCCAACTTCCATTGTACACAAACTTAGTTTCAGTTTACTAAAAATCTGTTTTTATTTATATTAATGAACTTATAAATCTGTTTTTCTAATGTCCACGTACCGAAAGTACATATTTCACGATATTTATATCAATTTTGGGTTTTATTAATATTCAGTGAAAATTTATTTTTGACTCAAGATGTTATTATCATTAAGTTTTTTGTAAGTAAAAACCTGTAATTTCTTACCTTGTCAACATTATTAGTGTGTTCTAGTAATAGTTAATTTTAAGATGCAATAAAGAATGAAAGATCTACATGTCGAGTTGTTATTTTAATTAAACCTGTAGGTATGAAACACATGATACTCAATCCATAATGTGTTAGCTACATACAGCTGCTAAATCTTGACACATTATTATAAAATGTACCCAACCATAATGGGTTGAAGTCTGAATTTACTTTTATCTATGGAGAAACTAAAATTGACAAAAGTATTTGGCAGCGGTGGGATTCGAACCCACGCCTCCGAAGAGACTGGTGCCTTAAACCAGCGCCTTAGACCGCTCGGCCACGCTACCCTATTGATATATACTTGAAATTCCTGTCCCGATAAACGGAGACGGATTAAACCGAGAACGCCCTAGATCAGCATCTCCTAGGCGCCCCTGATAGTAGGGGAGCCCAAGAGGGATTTCGGTACATGCTCGAGCGCGTCAGATTAACATATGGGGAAAACCTAGTGTCATGTTGAATATACCCACCATATATCCGATCTGATTAGAAGAGGGGGACGAAAAACAAAAAAAAAAGTCTGTCTAAATAAAGTCAGTTTCGTCAGATTAAGGGAAGGTAGGTCAATACCATGTTAAAGGAAGTGCGTTTGAAAAATCTGCCCATTCCAACTTGATTTGCAAGAGTGGGGGGATTTTGAAGGGTTCTCGTTTGTACTCTCCAGAACATTCAACCCCACCATGCAAACTAGCAGATTAAGAGTTTTTTATTATTAAATACACATGGAGCATGTACACTATCAATATCTGACACGCTCGACCACTAGAACAAAAGTTACGCTTAACAATTTCAAAGATCTGTGGATACCCCCTTCCCCCTTCCCCCACCGGTGGAAGAAATTGTCACTAAACCATTTCTTCATTCTATCAGCATATCTTCAAAATCCAGTAGATCCCAACGACGCTCAAGTAAATCCAAATTTAGCATCGTGGGCTCCCCTACTATAATGTTTTTGACGTTGCCATTACTCTATTCGCCACCCGCATCCACTGGGGTTGAGGTTCGTCACGCGAGTTGTCGTTCGACGTGGAGGGCTAAGGGGGAGGCCTTTGTCCAGCAGTGGACGTCTTCCGGCTGTTGATGATGATGATGATTACTCTATTGACAGTTGGGCACACGCGTCTAGCGGCGCCTCTGTACCTTGGCGCCGTACGTACTTGACTCCATTACTTTAACTACCTTAGGGTTCTTAAGTCAGAATAAGTCATGTTCATATCGGATATTATTTCTACCAATCATCAATTAGTATAATATCTGTGCAATGTGACTATTCGTTATCTATTTACTACACAGACATACCTGCAGTATAGCGGACAGATAAAGCAATTCTAAAAATAGACATCTTATGAAATATGAATCATGCTCTGCAACACAGTTGGGTCAGGCAAGTTTGGAGTGTAAAAAACATGTCCTCTATATCTAGCTACATAAACAGGTTCTAAACGTATACATATCTAATTAGGAGTCATCCGTGTCATTAGTGCAATGACTAAGTGTAAAAATATTTGGCAGGGTGGGATTCGAACCTACACCTCCGAAGAGATTGGGGCCTTAAACCAGCGCCTTAGACCGCTCGGCCACGCTATCACATGTTAACTATATTAAATTCGCTCTATCTTCTAACTAAGATGGTAAGTATAAGTCTAAGCATTCTGATGCCTACCTACTGGTTATTCTGTGTACCTCTAGTGTAGGTCTGGGTAGTGGGTACATAACAGGTGGATTAAACTTAGACAGCGCCCTAGGCAAACACCTCACACTCATAGTCGCCCCTTACTTTTTTTAGTGCGACCGCCACGACGGGCAGTTGAGAACATACGCCGCGCGGCGCCCTTCTGTAACGTGGCGCCCTAGGCACTTGCTTATAGTTTGCCTAAATGATAATACCGCTCTAAGGTACTGGCAACTGACTGCCACGTAACGTGTCGCTGGTTCGATTCCCGCACGGAACAAATCTTTGTGTGATCCACAGATTGTTGTTCCGGGTCTGGGTGTCATGTGTGATATTGCATGTTTGTAAACGCACCCACAAAACAGGAGAAATACTAATGTTTAAAAATTAAAAAGAAGGTACCTACTAGATGCTCCATAAGTAAATAAAGCTGACGTCTAGTCTAACCTTTATTATGCAAGTGCCATAAATCTCGTTCAAAACTGCTGAAAAACACTTATTTTCAGCTATTTAATTCTTGGTCACTTTATGTAGAAACTATCCCTATAATTAAGTAATTTCATTAATGCAGATATTCGCCATAGACAAGAATCTCTCCACCTCGAGAGAGATGCTTGTCCATGCCCAGGATGCACCGGCCCGACAGCTGCCCTTCCCCCCGGACACATCCGCGAGGGACCAGCAGCCGCCGAGCACACGAGGAGGTTCTCTGCACGCACCCCATGTCCCTAATCCTACGTATTTTTTTGTCCTTTTTCTTTTTTATACTTTTTTTGTAGTTTTTCCATTTTTTAGTTTTTTTTTTCGTAATCTTTGTGGTTTATCTTAGTACTACGACCACGACATGAATATTAGTATATCTAGTGGCCTCTACATTTCCCACTGCAGTGGTCTCTAGAATGACTCCTAGATCGTCCTCTAGAGTGACCCCTGGATTTTCCTCTTGAATGGTGTCTGGGTTTGCAACGCGTCGATTCTTTTCTTGCTCTTCCTTTATGTGTTTGCTTGCAGCAATCGTGATATTTTTCCTTGCAACATCCATAATCCATGCTGTTTGATGGTCCTGCAGATCTACCTCTGGAATGACTCCGGGATCTGCCCCTGGAGTGGCCACGGGATCTACCCCTAGAATGGCCACGGGATCTTCCTCTGGAATGGCCCCGAGACCTTCCTCTAGAATGGCCACGAGATCTGCCTCGGGAGCGACCACGGGACCTACCCCTGGAACGGCCACGAGATCTGCCCCTGGAGCGTCCTCTAGACCTACCTCGCGATCGATCTCGACTTACAGATCGATCTCTCGAGCGGCCTCTGCAGCGAGAACATCTTGTATCAGCTTCCACTCCTGTGCTCACGTCTAGAGCTGCAGTCTCAGCACTCGGCTGCCCACGACTGGGCACTGCCACGAGCACTGCTGTCTCCATGTCCTGGATCTCCAACTTCTGAAACACACAACGGAACTTCGTATCGGTTAGTGAAGTATGTAGGTATAGCTGGTATAGCGTTAGATTCAATGTGACTTGCGTCAACTCCTTGTGGTGAATGTGGCTCATCCCTCGAACGTTGACTGTTATATTCAACGTTATTGCGTAATAATTTCAGAAATTGCGCAATTATTGCATTTATTTCATTATTATTGCGCAACAAAAGGAAAATTCCATTGTCTGCTTATAATAATTAATATGTCGCAATATTGTAAAATATTAAGTAAGGAGCTGCCTACCCAGCGGACAACTGTTATTCCCGCCAACCAACCGCAAGGAATAAGTAAAAGCGTAAGTATCCACAGGATGTCATTATCATCATATCGCCTTATCTGTCTCCGGTTGGAGTAAGCAGAGATAACATACATCTATATACAACCTCACGCCTGTCTCCCATAGGGGTTGGTACTTTGGTGTAATGGCCACTGTACCTACCTGCGCATTCCTTTATCATACCAGAATACCTTTTTGACATGAACCAAACCAATGACAAAAATTGAAACATTGGAGTAGGTTGATGTGATAGCCACTGTACCGGCTTATTCCTTTCTAAAACTGGAATGCCTTTTGACGTGTACAGGAATAAGTAATCCTTACACTTCGTATTATTCGTTGGTTTCTACTAGGTAGATAAATTAATACAGCAGTTTAGACCTACATACATACATCATATATTGCGCAACATTTGCATTTATTGCGCTACTATTGCACAATCAACCTACTTAAAGTACGGTAGAATAATTGAGGTAATTTTCAAAGGAAACATGTCGCAACGTTTTGAAATAAATATGAATGAACATTATGCCTGCTATGCTATTAGGCCTGGATCATAGATCTTTAACGCATTCACTGCCCAGTGATTTTGTCTAGTGCCCGAATTATAAGACATAACTACAGTGCCCCGTATTGCTGTGAGCTGGATAGATGGTGTGCTTTTTACTCAGGTAACTTAAACAAGTTACCTATCGTAAAATATAAAAGTAAGTGATTATTTACCCAAATCTTAGGTAAGATTTGGGTAAATATTGTTTTAAATTATTTCCATTATTCTGGTTTCATATATATTTTAGGTATCTCTCATTTTAGTCCTCAGTTTTCTTTACCAAAGAGTAGTAAATTAAGTAGATATACCTATATAGCTCAACACACAGATATTTCTGTGGCTCAACACCACTTAGCACCAAGGTAGTATACAATTTTTCAGCCAGTTAACCAAAGAGGCTTACCTCTAATAATTTTTTTACCGACTTCCAAAAAACGAGGAAGTACTATGTTCCAATGATTGTTTTCTTTTTATATAGGTACCTATATGTTCACCAATTACTCCGCCGTTTGTAGAACGATTTTCAAAATTCTTCTTTTGTATGAAAGGTTACACTTCTGAGGTGGTCCTACTGTCACTAGTTCAGGATCTGATGATGGGATCCCAGGGAAACTAAGGGAATCCTTTGAAACTTATAGGGACAACTAGTGCGTTTATAAATCTGTTCTTCTAATGTCCACGTACCGAAAGTACATATTTCGCGATATTTCAATCAATTTTGGGTTTTATTAATATTCAGTGAAAATTT